CCTCCTCCCAAACCAATCTCATCATCGCTCTTGCCATAGAAGTCAAGCTGAGTTGCCAACCCTCGACTCAAGACCATGCACACTTGTGTGTGTGGTGGGTGGAGTGGGCTGGGGGGAGGGGGTCATGCACTCATGTCCTTATCGGTCATCAGTCACCTTTTGCTTCCTTCCCCAGTCCTCTTCCAACCACAGATCTTCGCCATCTATGATACCGAGAGGTCGTGTGTGAAGTTGAAAACGGGACAATTAGCAATCAACTTTTTTCGAAAAAGGGCTAGACATGTTCTCGGAGACCTAGTAAGTCCTTGTCGGCCTGCTGCCCCGACAATTTGATATTCGGCGACGTTGACAAGGTTATACATGACCATTGCAACTCACATGACCATTGCAACTCTATGAGGTCATCGTGCTGGAATTCATTCCGGGCTTGTTCAATTAAACCTCTGTTGAAGAGGATTGGAGTGGATTGAGGGGGATTTTGACTCGCAGGGGATTTACCGTCCCCTCCCAACCAAACAAGCGGTAAGAATGAGCTGGACATGATGGACTACGAAATTTAACCAACTTCCATTGATTACATCTGCATCACCTTACATCTTCTTCTCCTTCTACAACAACAACCGCGCGCATGCTGATTAGGGGTACATTTTCTTCATCCAAGAAACAAAAACCTCTTCTCCACGGGAGTGAAGAGATGAGAGATCAGCACCGCCGTTATTCCGGCCTTAAGTAATTACCCTAACCACACTCTGCATCCTGATTAACTTTCATCAAGCACACCACACACTGATCTGCATCCTGATTAATTCTTCTTCTTCTTAATCCTCTTCTTCTCCTTCTTCTTCATCTATGCACCCTACTGCTTGCTGGTCTATGGCGGTGTCAGGGCTGCGCCTTGTACGGCGCCGCCGCGACGGCCTCGGCGACGCTGAAGAAGATGCGGTCCGACCCGAACGTGTCCCCCACCACCGAGTTGTACATCCTCTCCGTCACCGACCCCACCGGGTTCGCCAGCACCAGGTCGATGCCCCGCTTGTCCAGCACCCGCTTCATCTCCGCCAGCGCGTCCAGCCCGCTCGTGTCGATCGCCGTCACCGCTGCAATCAATCAACTTTGTTCGTCAGTGAATCGAGCTTGGAACTTGGATGTCAAGAACAATGGCGATCTTTTAATTTAGTTTGCACTGACGGTCGGACTCACCGCTCATGTCGAGGACGATGCAGCGGACGCCGCAGAGGTTGGCCTTGGCGGCGCGCTCCTCCTCCTCTCGGAGGTACCGCATGATCCGCTCCACCAGGTAGGTGGAGTTGGCGAAGTAGATGGCCGACTCGACGCCGACGACGAGGAACGGCGGCACGCGCACGGCCTCGCGGTACTGCGCCATGCTGCGGTAGCTCTGCGTGCCGGGGACCAGCCCCATGACGACGGTGTTGGGCCGGGTCACCTGCAGCAGGATCTTGAACAGCGAGATGCCCACGGCGATCGACAGCCCGACCTGGACGGACACGAGGAGCACGCCGAGGAAGGCGGACACGCACGCGCAGAAGTCCAGCTTGTCCACCTTCCACAGCTTGGCGGCGCCGCGGACGTCGATCAGCCCGGCCACGGCGGTGATGATGATGGCCGACAGGATCACGTTCGGGGTGTAGTGGAACAGCGGCATCAGGAAGAGCAGCGTCACCAGGACGGCGGAGGCCATGACGATGTTCGACACCGCCGTCCGGCACCCGGCGCTGTAGTTGACGGCGGAGCGGGAGAAGGAGCCCGTGGTGACGTAGCAGGAGGCGCAGGACCCCGCCATGTTCATCACCCCGATCGCCATCATCTCCTTGTTCCCGTCCACGTTGTAGTTGTTGATCGACGCGAACGTCCGGCCCACCGCGATCCCCTCCTGCAACATTCAACAACAAAATCCACCATCAGATCTAAATGCCGCAACAAAAATTTGTTCAGATTAATAAAACAAGAGATTGATTAATTGGTCTTACGGTGAGGGACAGGATGCCGGTCATGATCCCGGTCTTGACGGCCAGGGCGACGTAGGAGCCGCTGAAGACGAGCATGTTCATGGATGGAGGGTTCACTCCCCTCGGGAGGTCGCCGATCTGCGCGACAAAGACGACATTTTTGCAGATTGATCAGAGACAGGTTATGAATGTTTCTTCGATTTTCCATGCGTGCAACATGTTCGGATATGTTACTGAAGGAATTGGTGTGCTTACGATGCTGATGCCGTGGCCTCTGCAGAGGTAGGAGATGACGGTGGAGGCAATCACCGACGTCAGGGGAGCCGCCGCCGACACCCAGAAAAGCCGTGGATTCCGAGCGCTCTGCAGAAGGAAAAAGGAGTAAATATGTGTGTTTGATCAGTACATCTGCTTGCTATTGCTGAATTATTTTCACCAAGAAACAGAGCCAGAGAAAACAAATTGCCTGTCAGCACACTTAAATTATCTTGAAAACAAATTGCCTGTCAGGCTAACTGAAAAAAAATGTGTGGTAGATGTTTGCCTCATAAATAAATTCACTAGTTTTTTTTATCACACATTGGCAATTTTGAGGTGGAAATTAAGCTGTCAAGTAACCCATCTTCTCAAGATCAACATGTGCAATTATGTCAAGTGCTGAACCATCACCAGTCTTAACCAACTCTGCTGCAAACAGAAAACCATCACGCGAGCGAACTGGCGATGGCCCACTTGTCAAGGAGGATCGCGCGACGCGTCCTCATGGGTTCGTGTGGGGTGTTTGTCAATCATCATCTCCAGATTTGACAGAGAAAAATGTCATGGAAATGAGGAAAGATTGTGACCAACTAGCTTAACAGGTGACACATCAGAGACCAAATTCGATACATTCTCCCAAAAAGGGAAAAGGAGGCAGGCTGCAATGGGTCACCGGCCATTACAGAATAGATTCTAACTAAGCCCACACACAATGACACACGTCTTACTACAAACTGATTGATGCGTTTGGTCTAGCAGAGTTTATGAAAACTAAGGCAAGCTATGAACATGGCAGCTGTATGTGCATGGCCAAACTGAAACTGCTAAGACAGGTTAGGTTTGGCTTCAAAACATTTATGTTTGGTATGACTGAATGTTTCTAGTATCTCTCCTTTTTTTGCTGAAGAAAACAGTGACACTTTTGCTAAGGAGAAAGGGACGTAGATAGCACTAATTGTTTGAATGAAGAAAACTATACTAATTTGAACTGCCTTTAGCAATCATATATATACAATCTTCAAAGTGCATGTGCTCAAGTGGCAACAGGTACTTTTTGGCACCATGTTTCAGTCTATTTTCATTCAGATATCTTGGAAGATTAGGCCTCCCATAGGGAGGAACTAGACTTTTCTGATCACACCAACTCTTCAGTTAAGCCAAGCAAGACTAAAGCACTTGTTAGGGCAGTCTAAACTACTAGTATTTGCATAGACAAGCTATAAAATAGTTTAAAAAGTTCTAACTGATTAGACCAAGATATTAGCCATGCTCTCTAATTAATTACAGGACATTTCTGTCTTATGATGATATACTCATTTTGGGTGTACTTCAGATACCGTCGAATGTTGTTGCGAGGAAACAAACTAAAGAAAAGTAAGGGATTCGTTTATTGTTGTGAAGTCAGGTTGAAATAAGAATGTTTTTTCTTTCAGAAAGATAAATATCCGAGCATTGTCAGGTCCCAACAAACAGGAGCTAGGTGCTTAAGATCACCCTGCCACTAATTGTTAGCCATTAGCTATGTTTGAGTGGAGCGAAATTCCTTGTTAGTGGGAAGCACCCTTTGGGTCCCTCCATTGTACTGCCCCACTTTTATGGGTTTAATCACCACCTCCCCTTTTTGCAAATTCTACCTTTCCTAGTTGCTGCCTGTCCATGCCCATGGTCAAATAATTCTAGAAACCATTAGCCGACTAATCGACAAATGATCACTAAACCCGCCTTTTCTTTTTTCCTTTTCTAATTTTCAAGAAACAAAAGAAAAGGGATGCATATATGCATACTAATCCTAATCATTTCCATGGTTAGTAAAACTGAAACTAGATATGGTTAATGTAATAATATGGAATCACCCCATTAGTAATTGTATTGGTGCAATTGAAACTAAATATGGCTAAATTGAATTGGAGCTAAACATTGTGCTATGAGCTAGACAGAGACAGAGGCAGAGCATAGGTGGTGGGTAACTTACGATTTGGCGTGTGCCGAGGAGGATGGCGAGGAAGGCGACGCCCATGACGATGGTCTGCCACTGCCACTCGCTGTGGCGGCGGACGACGGAGGCCATGACGTCGACGAAGCCCATGTGGGTGGTGAAGTGGACGATGCCGAGGAGGCCCTTGAGCTGCTGCAGGGACACGATGACGGCGGCGCCGCCCATGAACCCGGTGAGCGTGGCCTTGGAGAGGAAGTCGACGATGAACCCGAGGCGGAGGAAGCCCAGCGAGGCCTGGAAGACGCCGGCGAAGAAGGTGGCGGTGAAGGCCAGCTGCAGGTACAGGATGGGCTGCTGCTCCGGCGCCACCGCCTCCCGGAGCATGGACCCCATCACCAGCGACGCGATGGATACAGGCCCCACCGCCAGGTCCCGCGAGCTCCCCAGCAGCGCGTAGATCAACGGCGGCACGAAGCTCGAATCTGCATGTGCCAACAATCTCGTCAATCACCCATTAATTTCCTGCCATGAATGACAGAGTTATGGAGCAGAGGCGTGGGAGGCTCACATAGGCCGATGATGGGCGGCAGGTTGGCGAGCTTGGCGTAGCTGATGCCCTGCGCGTCGCGCCATGGAGGAGAAGGAAAGAAATTAATGTCGACCGAGGAAACTTGCCGCTGGTGGCCACGTATATTTGGCCATGGACCAGAACGGGAAGGTACTAAAAATGGGGCGGCGAATTGAAGGTGGTCTGGCGTGGCGACAGGCAGAGAAATCAATGGATGGAATAATTACCTGTGGGATGGCGAGGCTGGCAATGGTGAGGCCGGCGACGGCGTCGGAGCGGAGGAGGCGGAGGCTGTAGTTGGAGCCCCAGTGGAAGATGGGGAAGAAGTACTGCAGCGCGAGCACCAGCTTCCGGGCGAGCGACTGGTTCTTGAACTGGTGCAGGGGGTCGTCGGGGAAGAAGATCTCCGCCAGCCGCTGCCCCAGCGCCCGCGCCGTCGTCCGCTGCTCCGGCGCCGACACCTTGTGCAGCTCCACCTGCACCATCCCCGCCGGCGCCGCCTGCCGCTGCTGCTGCTGACGCGCCCCCGAATCCGCCACCGCCTTCGCCCCGGGCCCGTGCCCCGCCTCCAGGTCGAACGCCAGGGTCTCAACCTTGTTGTTCACCACCATGGCTGGGCGCACGCTAGGGTGAATCCCCTGCCCTCTCCCTGCAACCGCCGGCGCAGGGGAGGAGGATGAGGTCGACGGCTAAAGCAGAGGATTGAGATTGTTGTTGTTGCTGCTGGTGTTGCTCGATGGATTCGTCGTCGGAGGATGGCCGGGTTTTATAGGCGCCGGGCGGGGCGGGGGGCGAAAGCGCGGGAGAAGCCGAGGATTTCCTCCCACCTCGACGCGGATTAGGAAGGCGACTCCGCCTCTGCCTCTGCCTCTGCGTCCGCCTCCGGCGTGGTGCGGGGTGGTAGGGCAGGGTTGGGTTAATTTGGGTGGGGCCCTCTCCGGTCACTATTTACTGGGTGCTGTAATTAGCCACCCACGTCCGAGCCTTTTACCCGCAGGAAACACACTGGAAAAATCACCGGCCGTTCGGATTATACCGTATTAATTGGCGTACAAAGGTGCTGGAATCAAAACCGAATTATACCTGCACCAAAAACGTACTCTACTACGTATTCTACCTAGTACACATTTTTGCTTTTTTGTTTGGATATACATAATAAATAAGGAATTAAGGCCGGATTAATTGGCACTGCTCATTTATGTTTCTGCTCGAATATCAGTAAACGGTCTTGAATAACAGGGGTTGAGGTTGGCCGATGACACGGAGGTGCTCGAATCAAAACCGAATTATACCTCGACCAAAAACGTATTCTACCCCACATACATTTATGTTTTTTTGTTTGCAATATAGTAAGCCGCCTTAAATAACAGGGTTCAAGGTCAGCCGGTGATACGATGACAGATAAGCTTCATCATCAAGAGAATCGCCGGATAATTGAGTTTGTCGATTAAAAGGAACTAGGGGTGTAAAGAGAACCAAGATGCCCCTCCTAGACGCACCGCGCGTAACGCGCACACACACGGAGAGAGAGATTGTGTTAGGACAGCAGGCTTCAGTGCCTTTCAACTACCAAAGCAAACTTAGAATGCCAAAGCATTCATAAAAAGTACTGCAAAATACCATCAATGTCCAAAAAAGCTTAGGAGCCTTGAGAGCATGGTACATGAGGCGAAATGGGGAGAAATGTGACAGGACCATCCTTGTTCATTCTTTTAAACCTGCAACTGCCATCTTCCGCGTGTTTCCCAGAGAAGAGAAGCTTGCATCCATCATCTTTGTGTTGTCATCAGTGCGACGAATGACCAAACACTGTCCTTGTGCATTGTTGAAGACATGGGTTATTTACCACCAGTCAGAACTATTTGGCATACCGATGAAGAATTGAGCATGATACTTCTTTCTGCAAATCAGGCCAAAAATTATGCAAGTGCGCGCTTTGAAACCACTGAAATAGGGCGAAACGGTACACAACCCACACATGCTACAAAAAAATTGTACCCGAGAAAGATATGAAGTTAACCTCCTAAGTATTGGACATGGTTTTGTAAGGTAGTATGACTAAAATACCTTGTAAAGTCCTTCAAAACATTCCTTGCAACATAAAAAGTAAAAAATAAAATAACATATCTCGGCAAAGGACTACTTATGAGGTGCTATGGATCAAACTTACAAACAAGGAAATAGTGGGTATCAAAATCAACACAACTTGATTCGAGCCCTCTACAAAATATTAGTTTTACATGAAACAATTCAATTATCATAAATAACCTAGCTAGTTAGGAACTGTTGGTCATGCTCCTAGTTAACAAGGAAAATTAAATTGGCTTAAAAAACAAGGAAAATTAAATATATCGCCTTTTCAATCAGAATCGTGAATTTCTTTACAGAGAGATTCATACATCTTATGACTCATAATGAACTAATAAAAGTGACAATCCATTCTCCTTTATCCCACATTGGAAGATTTTTCACTAGTTAGTTGATCACCTTTTATAGTTCGAATCTACGGTGTAAATTATAAATATCTCATGTTTCGAATCCAGCTAAGTCGAATCGATTGCACCGATCCCTGAACTTCCAGCACAAGTAAGTAATGGTAAGGGCAGATTCATGTAAAAGAAGGCTTGGTGGAAGGTGAATATCTTTTCTCCTTGGATGATGGATGATGGATTCTGGAATGGTTGCAAGTTAATTGGTGGAGATAAGTTCTTCTGTTCCCTTTTGCACTCAGTGGGTTACCCAATTTTAACGGTTGTGTATATCCGGGTGACCATTTTATGACTATTACCATGACTATGTGACTAATTTTGAGTAATATAATCAGGAGGGAATGATCCTGAGGTGACACGTCTGCTCCACGTGTGCATGACTGGGCCCACATGTCTGGCATCTGGCAAAAGGCAAACCACGTGTGTAAGCATGTCTTTGATTAGGAGCACGCATAACTCCTAACTTAATTTGTCTTTCGTGAAAGCAACATAACAGACCATATCTATTCTCTACACGTATACACTGATCCATAGGAAAAATGCACATTCAGTCTATATGTAAACACTACTCCTCTACAAGAAGGAAAATGCATACTGACATAATCACATTCTTGACACACGTTACAAGCTAGTAGATTCTGAACCGTGAATTGTGACAGGAGCACCAAGAGCCATGATCATGGATTCATGATAACAACAGCTAGCAATCTACATATTTCAATGACAAGGTATTTCAAAGCCCCATCACTTACTTCCATTTCCATATCAGAGTGGAGCTGCCGGCCAACTATCAATGGAGTCGATGCATTTGATGCATAGCCTTGCTAGCTAGCTAGCTCCCATCGAAAGGTGGCCTATGGAGAAGGATAATGCCTGCCTGCCCTAGATTTCCCTGCAAACGTTGAGAGCCCATCTTGAAACGCATGAGCAAAGGAAACTCAACTGGCTCGCCAAGTTGGCCGTTTATACATAATTACATGCATATAAATAGCACCTGTTGCTAGCCCTAGCTAATTGTGGCCAAAGACGCATGTGATGCTAGTGTGGCCGGTGATGTATATTTGGCAACATGCAACTGTCGGCCAGCAATGCATGTAGCCTCACATAGGCGCAGGCATAAATGGGGCAACCAAAACTAGCAGAAAATGCTTGCTAATAGAGATTGTATATAGCCAGGTGAAATAATCTACATGTTTTCTCTGCTAGAAACTTGCCGTTACGGCGTATCGGGCACGTGTATATGGTGTGGGTGTGTATGTGTTTCTGGCCGGCCGAGGTAGCTTCAGAATTTGTCTCTGTAACCAACGGTCACTAGCGTCTTGGCATAAGTGGAAAGTGGCTGGGGAGATGTCCACAATAAGGCTGATGGCAAGGTCTCCCCAACGTGACCAAAATAAGTAGGCAATCAGTAGTGAAGCCCCATGTATCTTTCTTCATATGGCCATGCATGTGCCTTTGAGATTGCATCTCAAGTAAGATAATTACGCCTTTATTTTTTATAAGCTATAGTTTATATGCAGTACTCCCTCCGTCCGGAATTACTTGTCGCAGGAATGGATGTATCTAGACGTATTTTAGTCTAGATACATCCATTTTTTATCCATTTCTAGTTTATATGCAGTACATCAATGGAGGGCGCATCTGAAATACTTAAGCTCTAGCTGATTTGCAGAAGAACTCTAGCAAAACTTAAGCTTTATGATTAATTTTGCAAATCATTTCCTTATCGATCATAATTAGTTCCTGTCAGAAGTGGAAAGTAGCATATGGAGCACTTCCCTTACAATTTTCCTTTATCCAGTTTTCCTTTCTGTAGGCGCCTGCAATAATATAAGCCAAACTATAACTGAGTCAATGTGATGTCATATCATGCGGTGATGTTTGGGTACACTTGTAATAGCGATCAAGTGGTTCATGCATCCAATCACTAGTGGATTGGCTAGAAGGGCGCAAAAATGATCAACCATCATATATAGGCCTCTACTCTAAGGTTGTGGCATTTCATTGATTACATCAACGACTCTATGTCTCTATAGTGAATTTTGTTGAACATTTAGTCCCTCAAATCATTGAAGATGGTTTCAGATGATGTGGTAATGCTTTCCAATATCCAAACCTATTCATAAGAAAAAACCTGAGTTTTTTCTAAAGAAAATCTTTAAAAATGTAAAAGAATAAGAAACACTTTTTGATAGCAAGGAGAAATACACTAAAATTTAAAATACAAACTTAGAAAGCGGATCAAAATATTTCATAAAATACACAATCACAATCTAGATGTTAAAAACTAGAAAACAAATAAAGGGACTCGGGAAGAACCACTGAACTGAATAAAAAAAGTGTAGTATTTTTTGTATGGTCCTTCGACTACCAACTACAGATCTTCCATGAATGCTCTTTGTAGGTTCCATTGAATTTCCAATTTATTCAGAATATTTAGTTTCTAGAATTTCCATAAATTTTCATATATTTTGTTTTTAATATTCCTATTTTATAAAAGTTCCCTTGGACTTTTATTGTCATTTATGAGCACATTTTTATTCTAGTAGTGTCTACACATGTCTGGGTACACTTGTAATAGTGATAAAGTGGTTCATGCATCCAATCACTAGTGGATTGGCTAGAAGGGCACAAAAATGATCGACCATCATATATAGGCCTCTACTCTAAGGTTGTGGCATTTCATCGATTACATCAACGACTCTATGTCTCTATCCTGAATTTTGTTGAACATTTAGTCACTCAAATCATTAAAGTTGGTTTTAGATGATGTGGTAATGCTTTCCGTTATCCAAACCTATTCATAAGGAAAAAAACATGAGTTTTTTTCTATAAAAAAATCCTAAAAAGGCAAAAAAATAAGAAACACTTTTTTGATGGCAAGGAAAAATACACTAAAATTTAAAACTACAAACTTATAAAGTGTACAAAAATATCTCATAAAATACACAACCATAATCTAGACAATAAAACTGGCAAACAAATAAAAGGTACTAGGAAGAACCACTGAACTGAATAAGAAAAAGGAAGTGTAGTTTTTTTCGTATGGTCCTTTGACCGCCTACTATACAGATCTTCCATGAACGCTCATTTTTTTGGGGTAGGTTCTATTGATTTTCCAA